ATGGCAGCATATTAAAACTAGAAATACATATACCGCCCTGTCCAGCCATCGCACGCCTGGCAATCTCGCCTGTAGATCAGAACGCCAGAGCACATGGGGCGCATTCCCGTGTGGAGACATGAACTGCTATAGTTTCTAGCAGTTCACAGAAAAAAGAAAGAAAAGCCCTGTTAATAAGGGAACGCTCAAATAAAAGATGACACGTCCATAGTGTGGGACATTATGAAGCCTTCGAAAGAAGAATTAGTTCTCTACTAGTTTCTTGAAAGGATTTCCAGAAGGTATCACTGAATGAAAAATCAAGATGCAGGGAAAAATACAGCACATCTCATTTCTATAGCAGATGACGAGGGGCACAGCAGCGTGTATATACATATATATCCACGTATTACGCCAAGTTACACAGCATGCAGCTGTTATGTTTCATGTGAGTTTCACCTCTCTCGCTGGGCTTGACATCCCCTGCAGGCTGGGTCCACACAATTCTTTTTCAAACCCCTCCCTTCCCTCTGCCTCTCAGGCTCGAACATACCACCGACCTACCATGTTGATTATCTGGAGAGAAAGGACCTGAGATGCCCGTGTCCCAAGCGGCTGAGCGCCCCGACCCCCGACCCCCCTGCAGCACAGCCCCCGCCCCGAGGAAGACGGGGTGCCCTGTCTTGCCTGCCCCAGGCCCGGAGGATAGACCACCACGAATTTCCTTGACATTCAGATCCCAGAGGTACGCTAGGAGACAGTCTGCAGGCTCATTTTTCCCGACTTTATTTCCCTCATAGTTCTCAGAAGCATGGTATGTGGAACTGGATGAACCTGGGTTTGAATATATGCTCTGAAGCTAAGTAAAAAATACTTACTTCGAAATGTTTTATAATAATTAAATAACACATGTAAAGTACCTCGATAAATTACGGTGTATTCCATGTCCTGAAATCCTGCACAGCAGCTAAAAGAAACCAGCTCTAACAGCAACATTGATAAACCTCCAACGAGCGAGCCAAACTAGGGGCTCGACGGGTCCGTTATTATCCTGCTTATGGAGTTTTTAGCACACACAGCACTTAATATCTATGCGCTCACAGACACATCATCAACGTTAAACACGCTGCAGGGAGGGACACACGCCCCAGGACGGGGCGGCCTCAGGGAAGTCAGGAGGGGACCTGAGGTGTGACGGATGCGGGGAGGGTAAGTACCAATGTATTTGTGAGGTTTCGTTTCTTTAAGAATTTCAGACATTTGTAGCAAAATGTTAACACTTTTAAGCCTATATGGTACATTGGGTATATTATGATTTTCAATAATTTTGGTATATTTGAAATATTAATTTTTTTTAAATAACGATAAAAATAAATGGTATACATTCTTGTTATGGGGCTGTTGGTTCCCTTAGAAAAACCTACTTTG